CCGGTGTTGGCTGCTGCGTCTGTGTGGATGATGGGTGAAGAGGTGGAGAGAGGGGGGATAAACATGGAGATACCATTCCAGTCTTTCAAAAACTTCCCCCACATAGCCAAGTCAGCCTTGGCGTGGGGGTCCAAAGAAACTGTGCCGGAGTCCGGGACTCCATGGAGCAGGCAAAGAAGTCTGGAAATAAAAGACCTTCCCTGCGGAATGATGCGCATGGCGAAGTTCAGAGATCCAAGAAGGGACTGAAGTTCTCTCCTGGTGCAAACGTCATTCCGCAGGAACGTGTCTATCTCCCCTCTCAATCGTGAAAGTTTGTCGTGTGGAAGGCTAGCTCTGAGTTTGACAGAATCGAGCTCTATGCCTAAAAAGGTCAACTTTGTTGTGGGTCCTATAGTTTTGGCTGGGGACAAAGGGACTCCAAGTGTGGAAAAAAGTGCGGTAGTACTATTGATTGCTGTGGGTGTTGATGACCCTGGCTCTATCAGTAGAAAGTCATCTAGATAGTGAATAACGGAGTGACACCTGATGACGTTCAGAAGCAGCCAGCATAGTGACTCTGCGAAAATGTCGAAAAGTTTGGGGCTGCTTCGCGAACCAAAAGTGAGTCGTGTTGAGAAGTAATAATACCCTCGCCATTTAACACCGTGTAAGTGCCAGAGTGAGGGGTGTATGGGCAGTAATTTAAAGGCGTTAGTGATGTCTGTTTTGCTGAGCCAGGGTCGATTACCAGATGTCATGATGGACTGTATGGCGTCGTCGATGGTGACGTACTGCAGAGAGAATTCGTCTGCTGGAATGAGTGCGTTTATGCTTGGAACAAAAGAGGAGTGCGGTGCCGATAAATCGATAATGAGACGTTTTTTATTAGAATATTTGTGAATAGCAATACCAATAGGGTTAGTGCGCCAGGAGGAAAACGGTGAAGAGGTGAAAGGACCGATCATGAAACCGTTTGTGGTTTCTGCGGAAATGAGAGTGTCTACAGCGACTGGGTCTAAACGTGCAGACTGGAGATTAGGACATTCTAGTGTACCTGGTGGAATGGCTATTATGCCTGTGTGAAACCCTTGTGAGAAACCTGTGGTGAGAAAATCCACTAAGTGCCCGCTGGGGTGAGACCTTAGATAAAAAACCAGGTTGTCGATATTTATGTCGGTTAGTCATTTGTTTGGTGACAACCTGGCTGGACACATGGTCTTGGTATGTGCCCTGAAACATATGGAGCAGATGTGCAATAATCTACAGGCGCTGAAACTGCAGGAGCCTGCGTTGAAATTATTACACACCTGTGCTTTACCTAAAAAGGAGATGGGCCTACCCAGCTTATCCCGGAGACCACCCGCTGGCTTGTTGTGAGGGGTGAAAGAGGAGTGAGGTGTGAACGTGGGGTGAGGGGTGAGAGTGGAGGTGGTGGGATCTGGTTCGACGGGACATAAGTCCGCCATGTGGGATGTAGAATTACAGATGGCACAAGCCGGGGGCCTGAGTCCAGCGAAGTGGCGACAGAAAAGTTCAGTGTCCATCTGACCCCAGTTCATTCTAATGTTGAACTGCTTGAGATGGGTCGCCGCCTTCGCTGAGACTGACTTGTGGTAGTCATAGAAGGAAGAGCCCCCGTACTTGATGCCTAGATCCACTACCTTGTGGAGATAGAGATCTAGCTCTTCTCTCCTATGGGGATACACCGTGCAAATGACGTCGCGGTATATCCCAAAAGCTATCACAAACTGTGGGATAGACAATTTTTTATTAAGCCTGGGATCCCTCGTTTTAAGCACAACAGAAATGTCACCATAATTGTATGCCTTGTTCTCGAGTACATCCTGAGAGGCTATGAGTAAAGACACCAGACACACATCCTTCCCGTCAAGGATATCTTTCCTGATAGAATCTGGGACGGAGTGTGCTGGTGACTCGAAAGGTGTGATGGCTGTGCCAGGTGCTGGAGGGGGGAGTATAGAGGGACATGAAGGTATGGCAGGTACAGCCGTGGTAGAGACTGGGACTACGGTGTTAGTACCTGAGGAGGAGATGGCGCTCTCCACCTTAGACAGCCTGCTATTGAGGGCCTGTAGATTGGCCAAGATATCTGCCAGGGTATCCTGGGTGGCCGTGCTGTTACTTGGTGGTTGTCCTTGAGAGCTAGTTCCCGGCCGAGGCTCGGGGACTTGGTGGGTAAGCAGCCTGTAAAGTTCTGCCTTTCTAGCTGTGGCCGGAAAGGGGATTCCCCTGAGCCTAAGCTCGGCTGTGATTTTGGGAATAGTCCATGCTCTCAAGGACGTGGGGGTTGAAAGAGTGAGTGATTCGCCTGGAGACACGGGTCTGATTGGCGTGAATGGTGTTTCTTCTGTCAGTTCTTCGGTTGGAATTGGTTCTTGGGACATTCTAAAAAGGAATGATTATGTGAAAGATATATTAGAAGGGGAGTGAGTTAAGAAGGGGGGGGGAGGTATGGGGAGTGGTGTGTCTTGAAGAACTGGACTTTAATGCTAGATGCCGAGGCGAAAAACTTAACTATTGAATGACTGGATAGGTGAGGCCCTGCTAATGCCAAGTGGCGGTGAGAGGCTCTACCTATGATTTGGCTTATGACGTAGGTGCCACAGACGTGGTGGCGGGATGTTGGCCTCTCGGTGACGATAAGAGAAATCAAAACGTGTGGCCGTGACAGGTGAGGCCCTAACTAGAGCCCTGTAGTAAGGCATGCGAGGCTTATAACTATGATTTGGGCGTGGGGCCGTACCTCCGTGTTGAGGTGGGGTGGGGGTGGTAGGCCTCGCGGGATCAGATTTCCTGATAGGGTGGGCTAAGGCATTAGCCTGTGCCGTATAGCCAGTTCGATAGTATGCTAAAGGGTAAAGTTAGAGGACTGGAGTGGTGTGTGGATACTAACCTTGACTGGTCGCAAATGGTATCTGGAGCCTCCTGGTAAGTGTAGAGAGTCTTGTCTTAAATGTTGTCTTTGAGGAAGAATCCTGGGGGTTTAAGACAGATGTTGATGTGTTTATACGTATCGTGATGTCGTATGAATAGTATAGGGAGAAGGTTTGTTAGGGGCACCACGTGAGATCCTGCATTGAGGGATCTGGGAGGTTTAGGTGTAGGAATGGGATGATTTAGGATATGAGTGAGAAGGCAGAATGAGGCCTTGGGGTAGCGAATGAACGTATGTGAGTAAGGATGTAAGTACCTGAAGGTATGGCTGAGTACCGGGTCAGGTTTTTGGTGTCTTCTGAGCCTGATGGCCGTATGACTGAAAGTCTGTGTGGACAAGTAGTAAAGAGATAACGTATCCTGGGCGTAAGCCTGAGGGAAGGTAGTAATGGAGTTGAGACCGCGTGAGGTCTAGTATTGAAAAGAGAGTGAACTATACCTTTATTTAAAGTACAGAGATTGTTTAATCGTGGCAGGTTAACTGCGTAGAAACGGTGGAAGCTTAGATTAGTACAGGATCTAAGGGTTTAACCAAGACAAATTTCCTATTTAGCAATAGATGTGAAGATAATTGATAAAACCTGATAAATCAAGGTGATAATAAACCATACCTGTTCCTGTAATAAAAGGACCTTGAAATAACAACTTTAATGCAGAAAAGCAAGAGACCGATGCAATCTGTAAAAGCCAAAAATGTGACAGCGTGATTTATGTGCAAGGAATAGTACGGATTATGTGTAAAGGGTATAACTTGTAAATAGTGTTTAAATGACTTATCTGAGTGTTATTTGGAAAGAATGGTATAGCTTGAATTTAGATACGTATGAAGTTAAGAACCGTGGTGAACATTATGTTTATTACAGAAAAATACTTAAATGGTTTAACAAGGTAGGAAAACACAGGGCTGGTAGTTAACCATATAATGTAACCGCAAACTGATATGAAGGAATAAATAATAGTAGGACTGTGATTAGAACTTATGCATGCTTAGTTTAAAAGAATAGAAATAACCGAATGTAAATTAGTAAGATGGTGTTTGTGAATTTAACCATACGAATAGGTTAGTGCTGAAATAACCGAACGGAAAAAGTGAATACAGATAATAATGAACATAAACATGAAATATTCATTCGGTTGTTTCCGTACGAAAATGCATTAAATGATAGCGAAATGAGCCGAACGTTCGTGCGTTTTTTGGCGCGAATGGAGATATTAACGAAAAGCGTGTATTCGTGAAAATGCGAAAGAGGGAGCCTACCCCTACGTTTTTAGGCCCGAACGGCGGGGAAATAGCGAACGCTAATTCCCACGCCTTGCTTACGTGAACGCGCCGGTCTCGTGACCGGAAGTCGGGTACCTCGACCGGAGGGAAACGGAGTGGAAGGACCTCGGACGGACGGAGGATTGCACAGGGCGACTGGCTGCTGGAAACAGGTACAGTTCTGGCGGGAAGCTGGACCGGAAGTGCTGGTTGCTAAGGACAATCAGCTGAGCGGCAGCGGTGAGTAGGGGCTGGGAGCTTAAGTAGGGGACTTACTCCTCCCACAAATTCAGGCCTAATGGCCTTTCTACACACACACACACACACATATATATATATATATATATAAAATTTTATTTTTTGCAGTGCATATAAACTGTACAAGCAGGCTTGAGGTGCCCCAAAAGCAGTCCTCAGGCATTTCCTCGCTAACATGCGGGACATTTGAATAACATGCACAATTTTATGGTATAATCAGGCTTAAGCAGTTGTATCAAGAAAGCATCCTCTTTAACACAGTTAAGGAAGGTATACACGCTAGTGATGTAAACAGGCTAGTGTGGTTTGGCTATCAAGTTGATTGTTACAGGCTGGTACTAGCTTTCTTGTAAGAGTGAGTAACGTGGGTTTAGTTTAAGTGTCGCTCATGGATATATGGTGGGTTGCTAGCTAGAAACCAAGTGTGTGGGGGGTAGTCCCCTATAACTGCTATGGTCTGACTAGGGACACACAGATGCGTCGTTATAAACTAGGCCACTGCCGCTATGCGGGCATGAAGGGGCTCAGATGACAGACTGATCTACTTCCTAAGTAAAATGGAAGGGTATAGCTGATGGGTCACTAAGTGTGATTCTGTGAGTCCAGTGACTGGATCACTAATAATCAGTGTCCACTCAGGTGTTAAGCATTGCTCAGTTATGGTGGTACATTAATCTCAGGTTTGCAGTCCATGCAGAGTGGTCGGTCTCGTTTGCAGGCCCATTATTCGACTCTCTGCTTCAGCCAATGCCTGTGTTAGGTCGTGTGGAGGTCAATGCATAGATGGTCTGGACGGTGCAGGGTGGTTGTGGCTGTGAGGAGGGAGAGATCTCCTCTTCCCCAGGTCTCTTGTTGGGTCGGCTTCTGCGTGCCACAGGCTCGGTTATGCATTTGAGTCAAGCCTTTCCCTGAAAGGGCGCTGCCGATGGCCCCGGTGTTTTGCCGCCGATCGGGATCAGTCTGCTTTACCCAGGATAGGTCCGCTCCATCTCCTCTTCACCATCCCCTCTGTCTTCACTCGGGGGAGGCCCTGGCGAGGCATTCCTCTAGCTGGGCCCAGAATCTCTGGAAGATCAGGTCCAGGCTGGTGAGTTGAGGTTGTGTGGGTGGAGGCCTCGGTGCTGCGTCCGGCATGTTGCTGGGCTCGGTTCTTTCAGGGCCCCAGCCCGGGTGAGCAGCTGCAGCCCCCGCGGCTGTGTGTGTCAGAGTGGTGGGGACCGTGATAACCTCCACCGGTCCATGGGGGGGAGAGGGGAACGGTGGCTCTCGCTTTGTCTTGTACTGCGTTGGGACGGCGGTAGAGCGGCCATCTCCCCCGCGTCCGCCCCGTGTGTATGCCCCAACAGCTGGGCGACCAGGAATAGTGCAAAGAATCTCAGGAGTGGTGTCATTATGTAGATCCCGGTGTCCCGAGTCGCCGGGGAGCCAAGAGGAATCGGGTCACAGGGTCTGCTCAGCTGGAATCAGTTCTTTGTGCTGTATAGTGCAGGAGCAACAGATACGTGCGTATGTCCCGCTCTGTGGTCATGCCCCGCCCCCTTAAAAATACTGTTTAATTTAGAATTTATGATCTCCTGCTCTGGTAATAGCCCCCTAGACCATGCAGAAGCCTCCTGTGCTTGAGTCAAGTTCAATTTACAGAGCAGGAGATAAGACATTTTAAAATAAGTTACTTCTGATTGACAATAAAGCCATTTTGTTTCTATGCAGGCTGTGTCAGCCACAGCCAGGGGAGGTGTGGCTAGGGCTGTATAGACAGAAACAAGTGTGATTTAACTCCTAAATGGCAGCTAATTGAGCAGTGAGACTGCAACAGCATGACTTATACACCAACACTGCTTCATCATATAGTGTCCCTTTAATATTAATTGCTATAAGGTAACTAATAATTTCTCTTATTCCCAGTGATAACATGCATGTCTGCCAATATTTTAACCGGCAAATAGAAATTTTTTAGTTTCAGAGGTTTATTTTATTTCCGGTTTCACACTGCTGTCTGTGGGATCAAGCAACAAAACTATTTTCTCCAACTTAGTGCTGAATACTGATTGAGGTTTATTGTAATTGGACACAGTACATTCTCTCCTGGAAAAACCTGTTACATTGCTCCAGGCTCTGAGAAACCCACTCCACCCATATCTAACACCTGACAATTACAAGAACAATATCGCTCGGTTATGCTTGTGTTTTGTCTGTGTTGGTTTCCAGGTTGCTCTGTTTCCCAAGGAGAATGTAAACCAAAAAAAAAAAGTAAAGTTAATTCAGAGAATTAAAGTGGATCAGGTGACTGCATTTAGTTTTATGGTTAATTTCTTTATTGAGTTTTGCAATAAAAAATAGCAAGTGCTTTATGTGCTTGTGATCATTCAGCTACTCTGTTTATAAGTTCGCATACTTTAAATATCTGCTGTGAATAACTAAGTTTTTAAAGATCGTTTCAGCATCACATTGGGTAATTAGATGTCTAATATAAAGATATTGGTTTAATATACACCTCATTTCATGTGAATTTGGAATGTGCGTTTTATAATGTAAAAATAGGGGATTCTATACCAAAAAAAAAAAAAAAAAAGGCTTATTAAAATTTAGTCATTTTTTGTGTGATTTGTTCTTTTGCAAAGTACTCGAAAAATACCTCCCAAGTGTCCTTATTGTTTTACATTTCTTTCCCAAATAGAAAAAAAACACTTTTATTTATTTAAATTGCAATCAAAATATTTAATAGAGTAAAAAGCTCATAAAATTGCACTTTACCCGATCTAGAAAAACTCTTACAAGATCTCCATGAACAAATGAAACAAACAGTAACATATCAATAAAAACCAACCACCCCATCAATGACGAGTTCACACAATTCTTCACCAGGATTTATAACCATTCCCCCCCCGCACTGACAGAGGACAATAACATATACATGACAGCAGTGAAAGCAAATAAGAGCCCACCCAACAATAACAGGCATAAAAGTAGCCAAAGAGAAACTCAAGGTCTCAGCTTACGCTGACGATATTTTATTGACTCTCACTAACCCTAGAGACTCAGTCCCATGCCTCCTAGATCTGCTCGATACCTACAACCAAGTATCGGTGTACAAAATAAATGTGGAAAAATCGATGGGCATGCCCCTCGGACTGAGGGCCCTAGACATAGAATGGTTGGGACTGACGGATGCCCTAAAAACTAGCCCAAAACCCATAAAATATCTGGGAGTAGCCCTAACACCCAACCCGCCGGCTTGAGGACCACCAGCGTATGATAACCACGCTAATGAAAGACTTAGATAAGTGGCACGAGAAGCCCTTTCATGGATAGAGAGACTACACAGTGTAAAGATAAATTTACTACCGCGCCTCCTGTTCCTTTTTCAGGCCTTACCAATTAGAGTCACCAAAGGGGACCTCAAAGCCCTACAAATGACGATAGATGACTTTATATGGGCCAGAAAGAGGCATAGAATAGCGAGACAGACCTTATACACACCCAAGAGCAAAGGGGGATTGGGACTACTCAACCTCCACCTCTACTACCTGTCAGCACAGCTGGTGCAAATTATAGAGTGGCACTCACCACCGGACACACATAGATGGGTGGCATTATGGATAGAGTATTCCTCTGTGAGGGCCCCGTTAACGATCACATGGGCCTTGGGCTGCCTGTATAGTGCTTCTATCCAGTCCCTCACATGTGGCCCCAGTCCCAGGTAAAACAGCACCTTAAACATGTAATCCCAGCTAACCCTGTTGAAGGCCTTTTCCGCATCTGTGGATAGCAAGAGAAGGCCCTCGCGCCCAGCAGCCCTCCAATGCATAATCGTGAGTGCCCTGATCGTGTTGTCCCTGGCCTCGCAACCCATCACGAACCCCACCTGATTTGGGTGTACCAATGTAGGGAGATGCACCTGTAGCCGCGCCACCAAGATCTTTGCCATTTATTTCAGGTCGCAGTTAATGAATAAAATGGGTCTATAATTTCCACAGTGCTCTCTATCCATGCCCTCCTTTGGTAGGATGGTGATGTGAGCAATCAGGGTCTGAGTGGGTATGGTCTGGTCATCTCTTATGGAGTTGTACGAGGCCAGCGGTGGCACATAAAAGGATGTCAAAGAAGCACTTGAGCGGTAGGCCATTGGGACCTGGTTTCTTGCCCAGTTTTGAGGTTTTTATAGCCTGCGCCAGGGTGATAGGCTCATCAAGGGAGTCAGCAACGTCTTTATCTAAAGATGTGGAGGTATGTGTCGTGAGTTATGACTGTATCGTGTCCCGCAAGCGTGGTGCGGGCCTCGGTTGTCTGGGGCTGTGGGAGGGAGTAGAGATCCAAATAGAATGTACGTATCGCCTCTTGGATTTTAGTAGGTAAGCGGTGTAATACTCCTGATTTGTCGCGGATTTTGTCTATGTACGTGGCTTGTCTGCGCTTGGCCAACATTCTTGCCATGAGTTTTCCGGTCTTATTGCCGTGCAAAGTGAAAAACGTTCTGTGTCTTAGAGCGTCCCTATGATGTTTTGAGTGAAGTAGTGCTGTCGCGTCGCAATTGTAAGAGCTTTGCCTGATGCGTTGGCTGTCTGTCCTGTTTGTTGGCGTCATCTGTGTTGTGGATTTCTGCTAAAAGAAAGGTCATGCGTTCCTCCCGTTGTCTTTTCAGGTGTGCACCCTTTTGGATGAGATGGCCTCTCACTACGCTTTTATGTGCTTCCCAGGTGACAGTTGGTGTTGTCAGTGAAGTAGTCCCGCAGTACTTTGCCTGTGTCAGCCAGTATGTCAGGTAGCGAGAGCATGTATGCATTGAGTCTCCATTTTGTCACTTTGGGTTTGTAGAGGGGGATGCGAGCATAAGGGATACGGGGGCATGGTCTGACCATATGTCAGTTCCGTGTTCTGTACGCCTGACCAGCGATAAGTTACAGTGTGTCACAAAAAAGTAGTCAAGTCGCATATATGTGTTGTGGGGATGTGATAGGAAGGTATAGTCCCGCTCGTCTGGGTGATGAGCCCTCCAACAGTCTATTAGTTGTGTGCATTTAAAGAGGGACTTTATGGAGGATAGGTGTTGTGGCGGGACGTGGGACACTCCTGAGGAAGAGTCACATTTAGGGTCTAGGGTCAGATTGAAGTTGCCCCCCAGGATCAGTGTCCCCTCCGAGAAGCCCCACAATTTCCAGAGCATGCAGGAGAGAAATCTGTAGTGCCTTTGATTAGGTGCGTAGATATTTGCAAAGGTGTACGTTGCCCCAGCTATTGTGCCCTTTACGAACAGGTATCTACCTTCCGAATCCGTCAGAGCCGCCCCCTCATAGAATGGGACCCTCCTGTGTATCAGAATTGCCACCCCCCTTGATTTACCTGCGCAATGGTCACTGTAATATCCCACTGGGAAGTGGTGGTCTGTCACTAAAGTGAGTCAAAAGTATGTATACTATAGAGGCCCTAGCTACATGGGAGTCCCTCAGGGCTCTTGAGCATTTCTCTGCTTATTCAGCCCACGGGCATGAATAGTCAAGAAAGTGAGGTCCGCCGGAGTCAACGACATGGTCAGCTGTAGTGTATGGGATACTGAGAACAAGAAGAAGGGGAAGCGAGAGAAGAAGAGGGGATACGGAGGGGGTCAAAGGGGTTTAAAATTAAAGTTAGACCCTTCGCCTTCTAAAGCGCTATCGAGGTACGAGCGTCTAGGGGCAGTGAATCACCCATCCACCAGTGGACTAGTGGTCCTGTTAACCCTGACCAAGAAGCTCAATCCTGTGGGGAAGTCCAAGGAGGCCT